TGAGAATGAGTGGCTGGTAGTCATATCTATAAATGTTTATTTGGTGGCATGACACATGTATTTGAATTTTAGTATATTTAAAATAATTGTAGTTAATTTACATACTTATGTATTCAAATATGAAATTTTCTTAAGTTCTGGTTCATTTAAGTAATTTTAAGGCATTTAGTGTAATGATCATCTTTATTCTCTGCCACTTTGTCAAGGGCAAAATGACTTAATAAATTTTAAATTATACTGTAATTAAAGCAGATTGAAGTTTGAATTGAAATTGTCATGAACTCAGAATTTACACAAAATACACCGATTTATACTGAAATACTGTAAGTTGTGCTCCCTTTTCCCTTTCTTTGTTGCTTTAAGCTATAAAAGCCATCGTCTGCCTGCAGCAAACAGCGTTGGGGTATCGATCTTCTAGTACACAGATCTCCCTAAGACTGCGGCCACGCAAGGCAAACAGTTGTGATTCACTCAGTGTCCATTAGGGTTCTTACGTTGTCTCTCACCACTTCAGTTCTGCCGTTTTTAAACTCATAAGATATTTGACTCTCGACTAAAATGTTGCTCCCTTTTGTATATAAACCAAGCAACTAAGTTTCTAAATAATGCCTCTATTTATTATTCAACATGAGGATTGTTCAGATTGAATGTTGAATGTCATATTAACACTGGATTTGAAGATAATATTTAGTTACCTAACTCCCTATCAGTCACTTTTTAACAAAAAACAATTTGAAATTAAATTATATTTGAATTGGTTGATTTCAAGCTGTTTAATGTTTAATTAGAAAATTAGATCCTTATTCCTCATGAAACTTCTTAAAGATTTCTCACCATTATGTGATTAAGATTTTATTTATAAGCCCTCTATTTCAAAGTATTTTTGATCCTTTCTACTCTAATTATCAGCGCTCCCAAGAATTGTTCTTTGTTTCGGAGGATTCTTAACAATTTGTTTTTATGTATTATTTCTCTTCCAACTTTTACTTGAAATCTCTTTATTTCAGTTTGCCTGAAATGGGAAAAACACAAGAGTTGATTCTGACATGCTGTCTGCATTCGTACAAATTGTCTTTCCCTTTAGAATGTTTCTTAGATTGCTTGAGCTAAGTGAGTGACCAGAACGGCGTGTTAAATAGTCTGTTCTCATCCCAGCAGGTTACTTACGAAGACAGTCTTTTTTTTTCTTTCAGCATAATAAAGGATCAAGCAATGAAGATAGCATTTAACAGTGTTACCTTCACATCTCAAAACAATATTTTTCTTTTATGACAAATGTTTTGCTTTGCAGACATTTGCAGCTAAAAAAAATCTGTACCTATGCCAAGTTTAAATCAGTGGCTCTTGGAACATTTCAAGAACAGTTAAATGAATGCTGCCCAGCAAGATTCAAACATGCAATAATAAAAAGTGAATAAAGAACTAGGATTTACCTTACTTGTGAATAGTGAACTTGAAAATAGTACTCTGAATATTAACTTGCCATTTTCTGTTCTTATTTTCTGGAGAGAGAGATCAAATATATTATTAAGTTGCTAAGATAATGCTTTTTCTTTTAAATATTATTTATCAACAGTGCTACTTTTAGCTCTTCCCAGGCAAAGAAGTATATATTATTAAGTTGCTAAGATAATGCTTTTTCTTTTAAATATTATTTATCAACAATGCTACTTTTAGCTCTTCCCAGGCAAAGAAGTATTAGTGTTTATGTTTCTGTGTTTATTTCCTTTGTGTTAAGTATAATATGCCATTTTG